GGGCGGGCGGGGCCCTACTGGCTCCTGGGGCCGGCTTCCCGCCGGCCAGCAAACTGCTCTCACCGGCTCTGCTTTTTATCTTCAGGATGCTCAAGGGACTAGTCCTGTATTTAACTGATGGGCCACAGCTTTGAGATGAAGATCTTGCCAGCAAATTTGCTCTCCTTTACTGCAGAAACTTTCTCAAATACAGCGTTTTTTTGTTCAGGAAATAAAAATGCCTCGGGTTTGGCACACACACACTATAAATGCACATATTTGAAGAATTCAATATTTCAATAATATGAATCAAAAATAGAATGAAGCCTTTCCACTACCCAGGTTCTCCCTCCTGAAGTAGAAAGATAATAGAACAAACATATGCCAGGCATTATCCACACTGCTCAGTGTATTCCTGGGACGTGTTCCACATCCACTGAGAGTGAGTGGAACAGAGGGGAAAAAAAGTATTGCAGTCATTATTTCACACACAGAAATCTGTTTACCTGCCAAAATGCCCTCCCTAAGACTTTATCTCTTTTAAAGAAACTCCCAAGAATAAATACAAATGTGCAGGTTTGAAAACTGGTAGCAAAGAATGCACGTTACATGCTGTGCAATTTTTAAATCTGTGCAATAAACCATGAAATCCAGACACCTGCATTTATGAAACAACTTCTTTCCTCAAAGTCTTTTCCTACTTGCAGAGTGCAAAGTGTTTCTCTCAAAGCACAACAGCAAATTATGCTCTGCAAATGTGGGGTTTTTTTTGTATTTTCAATTTTTTTTTTCAGAGTTATTATTTTTCTTATATTAAGTCCTTCCTGATAACTATCATGGTCACAACACATCTATTACATGATTTTCTTTTAAATAGCACTTTCAGCTATGCAAAACCTATTTCAGAAAAATCCCCTTTCAGTCAGTCACACTTCCTCAAACACTCAAGTTATGACCATATGGAGTAACATGGTGTTTTTGCTAGGAGAAGGCATTATCTTACTCGAGTTTAATGCCACATATTTTAATGGTGAGGTTTTCATACCTCCGGAGAACATGCTCCAACATGTCCATTGAAAAAACCCAAGCCTGTCTTCAGCTTCTACCCTGCCCTCTGCTGGCTTTGGACCTGAAAACTCCCACTACCGACAGCAGTAGCACTGTTTTGTAGTTGAAGGCTTCGTTTTTCCAAAACTTACTTTCACCTGACCTGCTGGTACACAGAATAAGCCAGCTTTTGCGAGTCCTTCCTAAATAGATTTTTCAAATTGCTATTTATGGGTCTTAACCCCACTGCGTGAACAATTAACGTCCCACACAGTCCCTGCAGGCCAAGGACAAACAAGTCAAGCTTGGAACAGGAGAGACTTGCTGTCCCTCTGCTGCAACTGCCGAGTGTTTTATAGCCTTTACCAGTATGCAGGGGGTCCAAACCAACCTTCAGATTACAGGAGACTATGGCTGAGAGAGAGGGCAAAACCATTCACATTTGGTGAAGATGAGTTCAAGCTGACTGTATTTTTGGCTCATCATCAATTCCTTGTACTGTGACTATTAAAAAGAAAAAAAAAAAAGGAAACCATCTTATCTAGTTCCTTAGGCATTTCCTCGGTTTTTAGAGCAACTTCTTTCCAACCGTGGCTGTGGGGGGTTTAGATGGGCAAAAGTATGGTGTCCAGATGTTTGCTTGTTTGTAAAATACACTTGTTTGTGTTGTGGACTTCTAGGCACAGCTTAGAGCAGCTTTTAGACCATTGTGATTTAGGCTAACAGTTGTGCTAGCTCCTGAACAATCCCTGTTGGGTCAAGTTTTCCCCACTTACAGACCTTAACTTGAGCATAGTTTAGGCAGATACATATATTAAACGTCCAGAGTAAGTACAGGGAGTGGTGATTTCTTTTTTCCTAAGAAGTCTGTAGTTGTTTTCACTATAAAAAACCTGCTTGACCCTTGAAATCCTACCTCTCTCACCTGCAAGGTGGAAGCCACGACACTCAAGTTTCTCCAAATAGTGTTTAAAAACAGTATTTGTGAGTTAAAATTTTAAAAGCTTCAGGGCCACATTTTCTTCTCCCCAAGCTGTTCACAATTTTGTCAAACTTGAACTGTTTTAAGAAACCTCTCTTTACTGACCTGTTTTTAGCGACACACGCAGGGTTGTACAGGCGCGTTTGCGAACGACACGCTCCACTCCATGAAATCACCCCAACAGCAACCACCTGGTTTCCACACACTGGTGGTGCAG